CGTACCTCTTGCTTCTGCTGTTCCTCTCACGAGTTTGGCTCGGCCCTCGTCTCTCTCGCTCCGTCCGTCTTTCCGTCTCCTTCTCTCTCACGGGACCTTCCGAGGCCTCGCGGCAAACGAACTCCTCGAGTGTATCCGGCTGTCGCGTACGTTGACAGCCGTCTCTAGGTTCCGGCACGCGAGAACAAAGCACACACACCACACGCGCGAGATATTCGCCGAGACTTCACGTAGCACAGAGATCACACGAGCCAAGATTCTCCACCGCGCGCGAAGTCCCGATTATTCGCACTCACTCGGCCCCCGAACCGTTCAATCGACCGACCGACCGTTGCGGAGCGATCGCGCCCGACTTCGCTCCGCTTCGCCTAGAAGTTCGTCGCGAGGCGAGGCGACGAGGCACACCAACAAGATCCGCGAGTTTCCGTGTACACCACACAGCCTCTCTCCCTCTCAGCGCGGAGATTCGCCCGTTCGCAGGCAGCAGTACGCCGCACGCAGCACCTTGCCGTCCATCGCGATATGCGAGAGCGAGAGGGTCGCTGCGCGAGATATATCGCGAGACAACTAATCGCGATAGGCGCGGCTGCTCGACTAATCGCGATTCGATTTATCGCGCTAGAGATATCGAAACTTGAGAATTGATCTATGCGCACGCGCACTCATAGTGCAAAGATTTTTATACGTGATTATTAAATTCAGATAAATATTTCTAACCTAATATTTTCTTAATTTATTTTATCTAAATTATCTTTACTTGATATATTTATGTAAATTACAAGATTATAATTTATTCCTAATTAAATTATTATTTTTCTTTTTCAGGATTATTGTACCTTGTGATTTACACAGATTAATTTATATAAATTATAATAAACCGATTATACCTAACATAAATTTAATTTCAGTTAAATAAATTTTTAAACTTTACAAGAATGTATTATTAATACATTCAATTTTTCATGCAATTTTTTGCATGCAATAAAAATTCTATGCGATTAATACGTAATGTAGGAATCTTTGCGCATCAATAGTATTAGAATTTAAGGTTACAAAAATGATATCGGAAACTGAATATCCGCTTAGCTTTGAACGATATATTCCACAATATTAAATTTAAATTAGTTTTGATATTTAGAACACACAAAAAAATCTCACGCTGATCGTCGTGTGCGCCTTGCAATGAATAAACGCAGTAGTAGGCCTCGGCATCGAAATCTCATCGGTCCCACTCCTTATTTCCAAAACAAGATTGTGCTGTCGCGCGCGAACGAGCGAGTCGGTAGGGTTGCCTCGCATTCTCCGCGCGTTGGAAGCACATATATCGCCGATAAAGCGGCGCGCCGTGCATCATCAATATGGCGGCGAATCTCGAGGAGGAGCAGAGCTTACGCGAGTGCGAGGAATACGTGCAGAGACACAATATCCAACAAGTCCTAAAAGACTGTATAGTGCAGCTGTGCGTGGGCCGGCCCGAGAACCCTATCTCCTTCCTGCGGGAGTACTTCCAGAAGCTGGAAAGGGTACGTACACCGAGTAACCTCGATGAGCGTTCGCCTCCAATTAACCTGACTCCGAAGAATCCGACTTATTCCCGCGATTCTCTTCGTCTGAAAGAAAATCGCGATCCTGCGCCGCATTCCTTCGATCTCGGCGGAATTCCGAAATGCTTAACATTGCCAATGACAGCTATGAGCATTCGTGTCAACACGACATGACAACTGTATCAATCGTGTGCTCGATAACAGATGCAGATAAGACGCATTTTAGTTTTCTATTCGTTACTCGACGCATGCATCAGCTTTGCTCTTTACGATTTAATCATATACATTTACACGCTGTAAAAATTTATTTAACTACCCACGTACTATCCACGGTGTGAACATATTCTGAAGGAAATATCGTTATCAGGACTACGCTTCTTGCTTAGGTAAACATTGTAGTTTACAGAAACATTTTTCTCCGTGGAGAACATCGCGTTATCTCAACGTCATATAGATAACAATTGTGATAAAAACAGAGGAGAGTTCTTTCATAACATTTTAGCGAATCAATCGTGAAAAATTTGGTTATTATTTTGCAAGAGTTTGACATATTAAAGAATGCTAGTTTAACGACAGGCGATAATATAATACAAAATATTTACATGACAAGTGCTGCCATCGCTAACTACTAACAATTGCTTGTAATCGTGTGATAGTACAGATACCTGATATGCGTATGCGACAAATTAAGTTCACGATTGTCCAATTTATACTTTTTTTCTCGTTTCCCCAAAGTATTTTTTTAATGGAATTATTGAAGCGAAAACTATTTTAAGTTAAGAAAGAAAAGTTAAAATTTATACGAGAATTGCTGCTGTAAACATTTTTAGGCAGTTTTTTTAGGCAAGAAACAAAACTGAATACAATACACGTGTTTAAACAGTTTTAAGAAATCCAAGATTGATTGCTATATTAATCATATATTATCGTATATTATTTAAAAAAATTCTAGACTCTAAAAAATCAGTCTTCAAGTTTCTGCTCGTAATTTAAACGACGTTAATCATCCTACACGCATTAGTGTATTCTGAGCTCATCTGTGACTAGATAAACGCAATTGCAATGCAATGCAGATACAATTACAAAAGTTCACGAAAGTTTGCGAATGCTGGACGTTATATGTCAATCAATTTTAGAAATATATTTGGAACTGCAACCTTCTCCTTCTCTAATGCGGTGTTGTGATCCTTGATTTAATTTCCGTAGGCCTCGAGACCTTTCGCAGCCGCTACCTTTCCCATTTAATGTTACGTAGTGACGGCAGTTTACCGCGGCGTTCCACCACCCACGCGAGAGTGCTGCGCGTGTACTCGCGGAAATCGAAGGCTTTCCAAGCGGCCAAAATCGACGCGCGCGTGCGAAGAAGAGACGGCAGCCAAAAATAAGCGACACTTGACAGTCACTGACGCAAAACTTTCGCCATTAAAAGCGCGCAAAAATGAATCCGATAGTCCGCGTATATGTAACAAGTTGCAAATTAGCTTGGCTGATCGGATCGCCGCGCAGAGCTCATCACTTCCGCAAGGAAAGAAAAAAAAATTGGTGTTTTAATTAGCGAAAATTGATCTTGGAGCTAGCAACATTATATGCCTTGTAAATTTTTTTGCTAAACATTTATTTATTGAAAGTAATTAAGATAAAAAATAGTTATCTATCTTTTAACCTACGGAAAATCGATTAAATACAGCATAATAATGTATTCCATATTTGCTCTTTGCAAAGTAATGATTTACCAGCCCATGTATATACATAATTGCGTAGGCTGAAGGCCATTTCGGAGGCAAGAAGAAAAACAACATACGAGATATATTGCCTTTGCGAAAAGAATCAATAAAGGATCCAAAGTTATTCATCAAACTAACATTAATTTTCTTTAGTCTCAATTTTGTCGATACCAAACACGCATTTCGTGAAAAATATTTTATTTTTCACTTATTTTTATTCGTATATTTCTTTCTTCTCTCTATAACAAGAAATAAAGATTTATCGATCTGCTTTGGAAAACTTGCAGATGCCCTAGTTTCCTCCGTAAAAAATGTTGCTTGTTCCGTCTCCGTCCAAATATATACGCTCGGGAATGACTATTTTCATTTATATAATGCGGAGGAGATTTAGGATTGCATGAGGTCTTGTCTTGAACTGTTATCGCGCGCGTCCATACGTGTGTCAGTCAGTGTCAGTACGTTAGCGGCGTGGTGCATCGAGCGAAAGACGACGTGAATATAAGATATGAAATATGTATATCCATCAAAGGAAAGAGAATGAGAAGTAAACAAGCGCACAAAAACCGACTTGCGACGTTAAATGTCCTTATAATTAATTCGCGGATAAGAAACATGATTGAGCAAAATCTATATCTCATTATCCGCATGCAAAAGTCTCTCTTGCAAAAACGTTTAAAGAAATATTATTTTAGTAAAGAGAAGATCGATTTCTTCTCCAGAATTTATCAATATTTCACAATTGAGATGATAACGATGCATTCTACGGTAAAAATTATTTTACCCGAAATAAAACCACACACGAATTTTTTGCATGAGGTTTGCGTGCTCATAATCCTCCACTTTATTGTGCCTCGGCTCTAGGAAGGGCGTAATAAGAGAAAGAGCGGGCAGAAAAGAAGGAGAAAGATCCCACGCGGCGGGAATGAAAGAGTGCTTGTATCGTGCGTGTGTGCGCAAAAGAGAGAGAGAAAGAGAGCGCGATGTAGGGGCAGTAGATCTAAACATAGAGTACGCTCGAAATATAACAAGGCGCAACCTTATAGTCGAGAAAGAGAGAGAGGGAGAGAAAGAACACGAGAGTGACGCGTTAAAAGCAGTCCACAAAAATGTGGAAGGCCGCGACCGAGTAAATCCAGTCGTTCTTCCTACGTGACTCGACGTTCGCGCCAGGAGTTGGCCGCCGAAAATAATGATAGTAAAATATGCGAGCCTCCATTTGATAATACTGCCAGGCTCGTAAATGTTATGCGCGCGAGGCGCAAATTGATGTTCCACGTCAATACAAATGGTAATAACGGAAATAAGTTCTAAAATTCAGTAATATGAACAATAAAATAATACTGAAAGTAAAAAATAATCTTTAATTAAATCAACGAATTAACACTAATACGAAGAAAGAGATGATCGACTTGATAAAAAATATTTTAATCTCCAGTTTTTTTTAATTACAGCTATAAACGACACATCCATAAATTAAATAAGTAATAATATGAAGTGAAAACTTATGCTAAACATGTTTTCTACTAGTCTATATTACAAATCGTCTATAGCAGAAGTCTTGAAAAATGCCGTCGCCGCAGATCGATTTGCCATCGCCGCCGCCACCGCCGCCGCCGTCGCCGCCGG